ATTGCATTAGTACAATCTTTAATCTCCATGTATTTGCATAATTTTTGTGGTTTCTTTTACCATTGATTTCTAGTTTTGCTGTACTATCATCTGATGATATGTACAGGATAATTTTAATTATTTTGTATTTATTTAAACATGCTTTATGGGCTATTTTGGAAGAGTTTTGCAGTCTGTATTAGTCTGGGTTGGAAGTTGTTTTCTTGTAGGACTTCAGTCATTTCACTCTTAAGCTCTCCTGACTTTCAAGGTTTGTGTTGAGAAGTCTGTAACTCTAATGGCTTTACCTTTATAAGTAATTTATCGCTTTTTCTCACAGCTTTTAAGTGTCCATCTTTGTATTGGACTTCTGGAATTTTGACTGTGATGTGTCATAGGGAAGTTCTCCATTTGTGACTACTTGGATTCTGTATGCCTCCCTTATCTGTATGTTAAATTGTTTCCCCATATGTTGAAAATTTTATGCTATTATTTCTATAAATAGCTTTTTTATACCATTTGTGCTGTATTTCTGATTTTTCACTAAATTCCAGTTGATCTTGGTCTGCTGTGTGTCCTCTAGCAGCTGCTGGGTCCATTTTCCACGGTCCCTTGTTGGTTTTAAGCTCTCTCTGAGTAGACATGGTAACCTGCAACGGCCCTACCCTCCTGCTCTGACACTCTGTGCTCACAGTGATCGGTTCTGCTTCCCATACTTAAAATAGAATGTTTTGTATCTTGGGTTTGTTTGGCCCCTTTTCATGGACTGTAATTCTTTGGCAAACTGATCTTTCATGTTTTGTATCATTTTGTTTAGTTCAGCTAGCTTTTTATTATTGTTTTTTGCAAGCTCACCTATCATTTTATTTATGAAGTTCATTATCTGTTTAATCATAAAGCTCACAGAGCTTACTGATCTGTGTGCTTTTGTCTCCTCTTTTATCATTTCCCATATTTCAGGTGTTTGGCTTTTGATATGTTCCATATTGATGCCCCTTGGAACAGCTTTCAGAAAGTTGGGAGGGTTTTTGGAGGCATTTTGTTGTTTTGTCTTCTCACATTTCTTCTTTGTGTATGTGTGTGAATGCTTAGGTTTGCAGGTCGATTATAGTGGAAAGACTTCGTTGCCAGTATGGAGATCTCTGTAGTTAGTGCATGCTTTTGGGCGTGGCTGACAACAGGCCTTTGCCTGTGTCCCAAGAACCAACCACCATTTCCATTAATTTGCATAAGAAAGGGAGCAGTGTAATTGGCCCAGCACCCAGTTCTCTGGAAATGAAATGGTATTGTTGATGACACAAAGACAAAGCAGATATTGGTACACAGTAAAATTAACAGCAGCAATAATGCCACCCTGGAAACAGCAATAAAATGAACAACAGTAAGAGTCAAAGACAAACTGGATTTTGACATACCATCAGAAACAACAGAAGATACCACTGTACCACCCCTTCCAGTAGAAAACAGATCAAACACAAAGACAAATGAAATATTGACGTATAGTAAATACCTACTAAATATAACAGCACCGGTAACAATAGAAAGGAATTCAGTAGTCATTACAGGGTCAAATATCTAAAGCTTAATAGTAATATTAGTAAAGATGGAGGGGGGAATGGGAAAATAAATACAATTTGACAAAAGAGAGAGGTGGGCCAGGGATTTAGCTCAGTGGTTTGGCTGCCTGCCTCATAAGCACAATGTCCCAAGTTTGATTCCTGGTACCAAAAAAAAGAGGAGGAGGAGAGAAAAGTGAGATAAAGGATCCTATTAAACAGTAAAAAAAACATCAGTAGCCAGGCATGGTGGCACATGGCTGGAATCCCAGCACCGGGGAGGCTGAGGCAGGAGGATCGCTGTGAGTTCGAGACCAGCCTGGGCTACACAGTGAGTTCTAGGTCAGTCTCAACTATATAGTGAGACCCTGTCTCAAAACATTAAAGAAGAAAAGGGAAAAAAAAAAAAAAAACGAAGGGAGCCCAAAAATAATTCCTGCGTGTGTTCAGATGAGTGGTTTATTCCCAGGGTCTGCAGTACTGGAATGCACAAGATAAAAGGATGGGATCGTGGGTCACCACGGACATCTACTTTGTTTCCACACTCACATATTTGTGTGAATGCCGACTCCTGCTCTGCCTTTCCAGCTAGGCGTGCTCGGTCAGTGATGCCTACCTACCCTAGGGCTGTAGTCACTCCAGCTGCTCCCAGGGTCCGTGTCCCTCTGTGCACCCCAAACCACAGCTTTCTTCACCTAGCTTTACCGTCCTTGGGTTTGTGATGTGCTCCCGCTGCTCCAGAAGGCCCCTCGTGCCTACACTCCATGCTGTGGCAGCTGCCAAGCCAGGGCAAAGCCCTGATTACATGGACAGCAGGTGAAGGCAAGCAGACCACTGAGCTCCGAAGCTGCACAAGGCTGGCATAAAACCAGGGAAGTAAAACCCTCACGAGCTTCTCTGCCTGAGCATAGACTTCTTGGAGGCTGTGCCCTCTGCACAACACCCACCAGTCACTGTAGTAGGGTGACACCAAGGAGCTCTGAGGTGCAGTCCTGTCGTTCTTCTGCAGCTCAGTCATTAACCCTTTCCCAAAATGGCTACTCATTAGACTCTCTCACATAGGACGGGTGCTACACTGGATTTCTTCTCCTAATCCAGCCTGCCCTATGGAAGAAGTCACATTTGGAGCAAAACCCTACTTACTTTTTACAATTTACAGTAACTATAAGCTTTTCTTAGCCCTGGAGCTGCTGACTCTGTCCAGGCTCACCTTGTCCGGAGACAGGTCCCCTCCCCAGTAGCAGGGTTCCTTTCCCGACAGCTGTGCTCTCTTCTCTGCATTCTGCTCCATTTCTCCACCTTCTCTGAAGTTCGTAGTTTTGCTTTCAGCTGTTTCCTTGTTCCTGGAAATATATTCACCAAGCTTTCAGGTGTCTCGTTTCCATGTCCCAGAGAGGCTGTGTTTTGGTCTCTACTCCACCATTTCAATGTCCTCCCCTATATTTTCTGGTAGGAGTTTTACACTTGTAGGTCTTGCCTACATAAATACGCTTTTATTTGACTGCATCTTTTTGCATATGGGTATCCAGCTTCCAAAACATCATTTGTTGAAAAAAAAACAAACGTCTCCCTCACTGAATAAACTTGTACCTTGCTAAATATCATAGACACACAGCCAACTTTGGGGCTCTAGTTTGTCACTGGTCTAGGTGTCCATCTTTTTCCAGTACCACAGTTTTGATTTTATTACATTTCTAGTAAGTTTTGAAATAGTGGTGTGTGAGACCTATAAATCTACTTTATCATGGTTATTTTGGCTCTTTGGGGTTTCCTTGAGATTCCATGGGAATTTTAGGGTAGGTTTTTTTATTTGGGGGGAAAATGACACTGAGGGATGAAAGTGTAGTTCAGTGGTAAAGCACCTCCCCAACACACAAAACCCTGGATTCCAGCCCCGGCACTGCAGAAAGGTATTAGGGATTGTGCTAGCAATTACAGTGAATCTATAGATCGCCTGGGCAGTCCTGACATCGTAACATTAATTCTTCCAGTCCAAAACACAGTATGTCCTTTCATTTATCATCATGAATTCAGTAACATGTTGTAGTTGTAGTTGTAGTTTCCAATGTATGTCTTTCACCTCCTTGGGTTTTTTTGTTTGGTTTTTTGAGACAGGGTCTCAAAATGTAGTTGAGAATGACCTGGAACAATGTAGCCCAGGTTGGTCTTCATCTCACAGCGATCCTCCTGCCTCAGCCTCCCAAGTGCTGAGATTACAGGCGTGTGCCATCACACCCAGCTCAGTGTGAGTCTTTTAGAATTCATTGACCTTCAAAGCATCTTCTTTCTCCAAATCTGGAAAGGGTGAAACCAGTTTCTTCACATCTTTTCCTGCTAAGTCGCTTAGACTCTGTGTTTCTCTCATCTTGGACTCAGTAATTTCTTAGGATCTGACTTCACAGTCACTGATTCTTATATATGATCAATCTTTTGTTGAATCCCTTCAGTGAATTTATCAGTTCAGTTATTGTGTTTTTCAGCTCCAAAAGTTTGGTTCTTTTTTAGAATTTTTTTGTTTTGTTTTGGTTTGGTTCATATTTCTTTGGAGAGGTTTCAGCCTTGACCTCACAGCAATGCTCCCATGTCAGCCTACCCAGTGCTGGGGGCCACAGGTGTGCATCACCACACCCAGCCCTGTTTGTAACCTGTCTGCTGATGTTTTGTTCATAAATCATTCTCCTGATTTCACATAGATGCCTGTCCATGTTCTGTTTAAGCTCACTAAGCACATTTAGGACAATGGCTTACATTCCTTGTAAAGTATGTCAGAGGTCTGTTTAAGTTTAAATGCAGAGTACTTATTTCCATTTGGGAACCATGGTTCTTTTCTCCTTGTGTGCTTTGTGATCTTTTGTTGAGATGTGGGCATCTAAAAACACAGCTACCTCCCCTTGTCCTTCCTACCTGGCTCAGCTCTTTGACCAGTCAGCCCAGCTGAAAGGCTCACGGCTCCCCAGACCTCTGCTGGTGATTTCCTCTGGTTGTGTCTCACCTCTGTTTCCTTATACTGTGTAGGACTTGGTTTCATCACCAGGCTCCCTGTGCCCCACTGCGTCCCCACCACAGGAAACTGTGCCCCGTGTTTCCTTCCATAGCAAGGCCACCACTCTCTGAGCACTGCTTCTAAGTTCCCACATCAAAAGTGTGGATATTCTTAGTCAGAGGAGCCCAGGAGCTGCGTGTATCTGTGACACAGTGCACCTTCAACATTTGGAAAATGCTGGAAGTAACAAGTGTTTCATTGCCAAAACATAAAAAGCCAGACTCTGAGGAGTCATTTGGTTTCCGTTGTCTTGCTGGACAGTTCTGGATGGAGGCAACAGATACAAGGTAAAAAATCTCAGTGACTCAAGTCTGCTAAGATTTGCTTTCCTCCTTGTGTTACCCATTTTGCAGATTTTGACATTTCACAGGTTTAAGACGTTTCAGACTGTTCATAGACCTGTACTTGTTTTTGTTTTCCAGTCCCGATGATCAAACTCAGGACCCTGCGCTTGAAGGGCCGTAAGCCACTGACCTACATCCCCGGCCTCATAGGCCTGGATTTGGGTGGTTACGGGCCCTCCAATTCTGCATGGCCTTTAAAACCCGAACTACACACAGCACCCGCCACACGAACATCATTTCTTCAGATACTTTCTTTCTTCACAATTTCCTTTTAAAGTTTTGGATATAAGGTAAGGACAAAGTTATCCAAACTTTTGTAATACTCTGCGTGGTATTTCTCTCATAGATCTTTCTGTCTTTAGAAGAGTGTGTGGTGGTCTTGTGATGTGGCTGGCTACGCCTCATGGACCTGCCCCCACCTGTCCCTCAGCCTGGTGAGACGCAGCTCTCCACAGACAACTTGTCTCTCTGGTCGGACAACCGCCTCTGTCTTAAATTCCCTAAACATTCTGTGACAACACAATTCCCAACTGCATTTCAGATTGTTTAAATCCTTCCTGTTCTGAGAAGAGGCTGCATGCAGCACAGGTAAATGTGTATGAGGTACTCTGGTGAACAGAGGCCAGTCTGGGAAACACAGTGAGACCCGTCCCTTGACACACGGTGTCTAATACATTCGCTGGCCGTGGTGCTGCACGCCCGTAGTGCGATCTGCACAGTATCGGAATCCCACCCTGGCAACTTGGCAAGATCCTCCCTCACTGTGCAATGGCTGAGGTGCTGCTCAGCACAAAGCCACTGGCGGGCTCAGTCTCACAAAGCACAATTTGCCTTGTGTTACTTCTTCCCTCGGTCCCCTGAACAATTTTACCCTACTTCATATGATTTTATTTTCCTAACATTTAAGTTTCATTTTGAGTAGAAATTTGTTAAGTTATAGCATAAACTGTGAAGTGACAGATTGTAATTAGATATTTAAATCATCTTTTAAAGCAAAAAGTGATGTACTGTGTTTTGCATAATAGGAGCCATCACTAAAAATGTCAAGAAGGTGCTCTAAGTGAATAATTCAGGTGAGTCCTTAAAAAACAAATTTAAAAAAACTAGGATTGAAGGAAAACATTTATTGAATCAAAATCAATACTTTCTTTTTAATATCTACAAGCCAACACTGAATTCACTTTATTCAAGAATGAACACAATGTACAAAAAAAGTATGCTTATATTATAAAAATATGTCAATTTTATCTTCTGGGTGCTGAGCAGAAGTCATTTTAAACAAAATCAAGGCAAACTTGTTCTCTATAATGAAACCTCTCCAATTTCCTAACAGAAGTGAAAGCCAATGTAAAGCCCACCGATGCTGCTGCCCTAGAAATGTGACCCAGGCACAGGCGGACATGGCCACCCCAGGCTCTCAGGCACCACTTCCTGCCTGTGCAGGCAGCACCCCCTTCCCACAGAGCGCCTCACTGCTCAGTCTGTGCCACTCCGTCTTCCTTCGGCTTCCCTCACTTAATAGTTTGCATCTATTTCAGCAAAGGAGTAACAGGATAAAGAATTTTGAGCACAAAAATCCTACTTATTTAATCAGCTTCAATTTAAAAATGAGATTCACTGCTACGGGCAACAAACGACGTCCCAAGCTTTTACAATTCCATTTATGAGGGTGGGAAAGCCGCTGCCCTCCACTCCCGAAGCCTCCCTAGGAAAACTGTACGACCAAGGCTCATCTCCGTCACACTCCTGTGCAGTAGGGCTCGCATGCTGTAGTAATTGGGAAACATGAAGATAGAAATCATCACCAGCTGAGGCAAAGTGTCAGTGGCCCCTGTATGTCGTTCCAGTAGTTATGTGACAATGCAGAACGTGGCTCTCTGGAAGTCAGAAAGCATCACTGCTGATAATGCCAAGAAAACCCTGTCCGTGTCTCAGCCTGTGCACGGTGGTGTCCTGGAAGAGCTGACCCTGGCTGACAACAGATGGACTAAGGTTTAAATTACTCAGCTGCAGGAGCTTTTTCCTTGACAGAGCCTCATCTCTGCTTGGCACTGACACCTCTGAAGGCCTAAAACTGCAAAATACAAGGATCTCATCCTGGTGCCCACACTGCTAGGTAAATCAACCTCAGAAACGCTTTTGTTTTACACAAACCAAATGTTTCTTAAGAACTAAGGTTTTCCCTGGGAAAAGGGATAAATGAAGGCAGAAGAGAAAACTATTGTGTTCCTCTATGCAAACACTAACCCCTTAGAACTCTCTAAGTTTTCCATTAAGCGCCATTTCCTGCATGAAATATTAACCCTACCAAAGGTGAATAGGCCTGAACTGGACATAGGATTTAAACATTTAATACTACACCAACTATGGCTTAATTTAACCCTGTGCTCTACTATGGAAAAGAAGCATTTATAGAGATATTTGAAACACACAAAATTTGTGAAAGATAAACATATTTTGGAACCTGAGCAAAGGCTTCTAACCTATACCATAAAAAGTCCCACCGTATTGGTCGTTCTCACAGTGATTCCGCCAGGTTAGTGTGTTGCTTTTGGCAACTTCCACAGCCCCCCAAAATATGCAGAATACAGAGAGTCCAATGACTCTGCGGTTAGTAGCATGGGGCTGAAGTCCAACACACTGCTGGCAGAAACAACTGGATACCAAAATATTACACATAAAGACAGTAAAAAGAAAATGAGTACACAAAGGATGAACAGGTAACAGGATGCAGACTGCTCAGAACTGGACAGGATGAGTCTCACCATAACACACAGATACACAACCACACCTGTTCACAGCCACAGGTCCTTGCTCTCAAAATAAATACACTGGACATTTACAATAGAAGGAATGCCTTATGAACACAAGCTTTTCTCTTATTGCAGTTCTAGTCAGACAGACCAAAAAGTCAAGATGCCTGAAAACAAGCTACAAAGTTAGCTTCCTCTGTGGACAACTGATACGACTTGGTGCCACAGCTAAACTCTCTAATAGCAGCAGATCATCAGCCCAGGGCAGAAGAGAAGCGCCCGTTTCTCACATCCCGTGGACCACCAACTCAACTCCATAAAGCATGCAAATATCTATTCTGCTGAAGTTTCAAACAAACAAAAAGGATTGTTGTGCTTGTGGGTCTCATACCTTCCCAAGTATACAATAAATGGTGGCAAGTTAACAACAACAGGTCACCGCTTACCAGAAAAATCACAAGGCAGAAAGGAAATGTTTAAGATGGGAAAATTGCAGAACGGTGCTGGCATTCACGGAACAGATCATGCTACGGTCAGACCCCTCCCGACCACGCTGTGAGCACTGCAGTCCCCTGAGCACTGCCCGCCCCATGCACCGTTGGCGTCGTCTGAGGCAAAACAGCAGCATCATTGGCGTCGTCACGAGGGTGCCATCACACTTCTTTTGTAATTAAAAATGAAAGAATGCAATCACAAGACAAAAATGATAGAGTAGTGGACAGAGAAAATATCCAAGTTCACAATGACCTATAAAACCAAAAGAAAAATTCCAATTATTTTCAAACTTTCAGGCTTTATATTTTTAAAAGTAGTCTGTTTTTCATGTGTTTTCACTCCTTAAAGGAGTCACCAGGCTCTCAGGCAAAAGTCTCCCCAGCCAGATATCTTAAAGGTCTTCCTAAGGAAAACCACCCAGAACTTGCATCACGGGGCACAAAGTGTCCATGGCCCACCCCCCAGACACAGCCGGTCACTGCTGCCCAGCACTCACTGGCCGGCCGGGGCTATCCCGCCTTGGTGTCCACCAGCTGCATCTGCACGTTGGCCGCCATGCCGCCCCCACCGTAGCCGCCCTTGGACTGCATTTGGTTCTGAATGGAGCTAACCTAAAACATAACAAGTCAGAAGTCGTCACATCCAGGTAACAGAATGATTCTTCTCCCCCACATTTTACTTTTGTTTTGTTATTTTGGTACTGGGGATCAAACTCGGGTCCTTGCGCTTGTGAGGCAGGCAGCAGAACCACTGAGCTAAATCCCCAGCCCCCTCCCCCACAGTTTAGCTGGGCTGCTTTTTCCAGACGATACTTTTATAGACAAAAATCTACAGTTTTTTTAATAGTCTTCAAATTTGTTTTTAAGGGCAAATTACAAGTCTAGTAAACAATTTTTTGCAACAATTTCTTCCCCTATACTTTTCAGTTACTTAACAGTCAGTTTTAAAACATGAGGCACTTCCAAATAGTGAGGAAAAAGAAAAAGGCCCACAAATCAACTCAACTTGATTTTCAGCAATCTCGAGTGTGTTCTGACCACCTCAGTTACTTAAGACTCCAAAGCAAGAAAACAGGCACCAACAACACTGGCCCAGACAGGGAGACGTAGAAATCTCAGTCCGTGTGATATAATACAGTGTGACAGAGCACAGGAGCCCAAGAGCCACATGTGGGTACTGTGTGTGTGTGTGTGTGTGTGTGTGCGCGCGCGCACGCATGAGAGCCAGGGGTCACACTAGCGCCACTGAGCTCGCCACTGAGCTAAATCCATGGCGGTAATTATTTTAAAGTGCTAAGAACAGATGCTATACTTGATCTTAGCCAAAAGACCAAGAAATGATAATTTTTTGACCTAACCAGGTGAAGTACTTCGGTTGAGGCGATAACCTCTCCTAAGCACCCTGTAGGGCTACTTCTGATGGCCCTAAGGTACACGTAAGCCAGGTGTTGTTCTTTGTTGAAACACACACCTCTGTCTGCCAAGTGGAATGACTGTAGTTTGTCACAACTGTCCCAATCCTAGTCCAGGTGGGAAACTGAGGGCAGACAATCAGTGGCACCAGACTGGTGAAAGGTGCAGAGCAGGGAGCCGGAGGCCCCCAACACGGAGACAACAGCATGTAACCAGAAAATATTCATACTCGTCAAAAGGACCAAAAACAGAAAAACAAATTTATAGCCCTCTTTTTATTAAGGCTCCCAGTAAACCTGTTCAGCTGTCAGCTGCTGTATATTAATCTACATCCATCACCTGCTATATACAGTCACTACCACCACAACAATGTGGCCCAAACTTAAGTCCCGCCCTGATACCAAGTAATTTGTCATTTACCACAGCATCTTTTTTAGCTTTTGTAGATATTTAGGCTTTTTTTTTTTTTTCTTTTGCTTTTTCCGACAGGATCTCACTGTGTAGCCCAGGCTGGCCTCCAACTCACAGCAATCTTCCTGCCTCAGCCTCATGCTGGGATTAAATCATCTTTCTGTTTACTATTGTGCATTCATAATGACATGCAGATTCTACAAAAGAAAAATCCCTCCAGAAGGCAATTCTGCAACTTAAAGCTGAAGGACGTGGACTCTCCAGTACGTAGCCTCTCTGTGTTACTGTGACAGGAATATACAGTATGTTACTGAAAGGGTCACAAAGAGTCTGGCACGAGCCGCCTGGATGATGAGGCGCAGCAGCAGAGCACGTCCCTGGCACGTACCAGGCCCCAGCTCATTCCCCAGTACTGAGAGACGGCACCTGTGGGAGCGGTTGTCATCCAACCACTGGATAATACAGTGTAAGCAGAGTGGCTTCATAAGCATCAAACCGTTGTCATGGCACCCAGTGCTCAGTTCTCAGACTCACGGAAGGGGAAGTCTTTCCGTGGGAAACTAGCATCTCTCTCTCAGATAGGCGTACACAAGTGAGGAACAACAGTGCCCTCAGGAAACTACAAAGTGGAAAGATCTTCCTACCAGCAAGAACTTAGTGTCTGGGCTGGGGATTTAGCTCAGTGGTTCTACTCCCTGGCTCACAAGCACAAGGTCCCAAGTTCGATCCCCGGTACCAAAAATAAAAGAACTCAGTGTGTTCTGTGGGGCTGGGATCACCTCAGAAACAGCGCCACATGCACACAATGTCTACAGGAAACCTGAAGAGCTGGGACCCTGCTCCAAGGTGACAGCAGACCCAGAAGCTGCACGGTACCAACCCAGCTGCCTTGGCTTACAGCAAGCCATGTGTCAATGATAGGGTCATCTTGGGAGGCAAAATGCCAGGGAGGAATCTTAGAAGAAAACTTGAAATGTGCATAAACCAGGATTTTTGTTTTGTTTTAATTTTAAAGACAGGGTCTCCTGAGATTCCACCTCACTCCAGAAAGAATAGCTGCTCTCAAGAAATCAACCAACAACAAATGCTGATAGGGCTGTGGGGAGAAAGGAACCCTTCTCCACTGTTGGTGGGAGTGCAGACTGGTGCAACCACTGTGGAAATCAGTGTGGAGATTCCTCAAAAAACAAGATTAGAGCTTCTATTTGACCCAGCTATCCCTCTTCTGGGTGTCTTTCCAAAAGTATCATACCACAGTGATACAATGTGCACCTGTGTTTATAGCAGCACAGTTTGTAATAGCTAAAACTTGGAAACAGCCCATTTGCCTATCATTTGGAGACTGGATAAAGATGATGTGGTTTTTCTATAAAATGGAATACTACTCAGCCATTAAAAATGGGAAATTAGTCATTCATAGGAGAATGGATGCATACTGAGGATATACTCAAGTGAAATAAATAAGTCACGTGTAAATACCAAGTAGTTTCTCTGGTGTGGAAAACTAAATCATAAATAAGATCCAAATGGTATAATTGACAACGTGAAATAGGAAGAAAGGGCTAAAGGTGTAGGGGAAGTAGGAAGGGTAGGGGAAAGGAAATAAGGGAAAAGAAAACAGTATAAGAAAATGAAGAAATGGAAATAAAGGTTTTGTAAATAGGGAAGGGAGGAGGGGATGAAGGGAGGGCAGGAGTAAGGGGAAAAAATGAGAACCAAGACCTGTCATGTAAAGGACAAGATCCCAATGATGAATGTAACTACTGTATACCTGTAATGTACCAGTAAACTCAATGAGAGAGAGAGAAAGAGACAGGGTCTCGCTGGACGTCCAGGCTGGCTCTGGACTTCCACATGCAGCCCAGGCTGGCCTCAAACTGGCATAATCCTCTTGCCTCGGCCTCCTGAGTTCTGGGATGACAGCTTTGTGTGCCAACATGCCCAGATACTAAACTTTAATTCTTCCTATATGTAATGTATGTTTGTGCAAATCTGAAGTGGTACAGACATTTGCTGATGAGGAAGAAATCAAAATTCATCGTGCAATAAATATGAAACCACTCATTCTAATATATGACAGCCATGTTAGTAAAAGCACTAGGGGATCCCCTTTGGTCTTTCACTCTGTGGGATCAGGGAAACACAGCTACTGACTCTTTTGACAGCAACGCGATACTTTGGGATCTCCACAAAAGCAGGCCAGTGAAACAAGGTACTTTTCCAACAGATTCTAAGCAAACTTTCTGCTCCGGAAGCTACAAATGTCACTCCGTGGTGTGCCCAGTGCCTGAAGGCCAAGTGGGCCTACTGTGTGCAGGACATACACCCCACACGAGGTCCCCACACTCTGGCAACGACTCCAGTCAGAACTGTGCACGTGTGAACCCTCACTGACCTTCAGGTCTCCTCCGGCTCATCTGGACCATCTACTCTGGCCTTGGGAAAAGTGGCCCTTCCACTGTACTGCCTGCTTCCCAGTTTTCTCTTAGATGAAAATAAATCCTATTCTCAAATTCACTAGTCTCTAAAAAAGACAGCAAAAAGATGTTTCTTTGTTTCTCGTTCCTCATACCACTATGATAAATTTTCCTGCCTTGCCCTACAGGGGTATGTGCAGGAGAACTTACATGAGACTTAATGTTATTATCAGGTAAAAGCTGTCATGCAATAAAAATGTCTGCAAAAGGCACATAAAGCCGAGATAAAAAGCAGCTGAACAGCATGGTGATGCAGGCCCGTAATGCCAGCTACTGGGAGGCTGAGGCAGAAGAATTATGTAAGTTCGAGCCCAACCTGACCAATTTAGTGAGACCCTATAAAAAAATTTAAAACATTTTTAAAAGGTTAAAAGCAGAGCACTTGCTTGGCATGTGTGAGGTTCAGTGGTGGGGGCACAAACAGTGAAAGATTTTAGACACAGGTGGGGTGGTGAAGTCCTTTGGGTGGGAGCCTGAGAATCATGGGTTTCTTCTGAACTCAAATCCTTTCGGGAATCCAGGAATGAGCCAGCTACAAGACTTCAGTACAAGAAACGAACACACAGCTTCACAAGTTAAGAAGAGGTTCTCACTTAATTTGCTCACGTATACCTCAGGGTGATGGCTGAGCTTGAGAGGCACCCCGACCAGGGAGGCACAGCGAGGTGACCTTGGGGCTCTACCTGCCGTCTCTTACACAAGAGTCATCACTCGGTGTCTGGGGCCCTGGTGCTAGGACCCTGGTGGGTGACAATATCCCCAGGTGTTTCAGTCCCTTCCATAGAATGGTGCCACATTTGCCTACAACCTACGCACGCCCTGTTACTTAAAATTCTGTTACCTGTACCGTGTAACAGCTGCTCTCCTGGCTGAACCCACAGAGACAGTCGACCGTATTTCTACTGTCTACCAAGGCACTCGGCAGTGTTATCCAAGGCCCTGGGTCCGTGCCCCACCCACACACTTACTGAATTCATTCCGCTGAACAGGTCTCCCGACCCGACATGAGCTGTGTGGACAAAGTTTGTCGGCTCCCCAATCATACTTCGGTCAATCCGTCGCCGCCTTTTCTAAAACAGGAATAACATTAAGAAAAGTTGTCAATAAGTTGTTATTTTTTTGTTTTTGGTTATTTTGGTACCGGGGATCGAACTCAGGACCTTGTGTTTTTGAAGCAGGTGGTGGCATCACCGGGCTAAATCCAGGCCCTACCCTGTGGTTTTAAACATTGGTTTGTAGCTTTCTTCAGTGACAAACTGATTCTATGTTGATGGTTATTACTTAAGATTATACTCAACTCTCCTACCACTCTGGAACAAATCTCCACCCACAGTCCGGCCCGGACAAAGCAGGACTCAGGCATCATCTATAGCTGTTTTTTCACAACCACACCCTCCTGGGCGCTGGACACCGTTTCCCGTAAGGCAGCACGCTTGCTCCCACCGACGTGCCCACCCCTCGGCCGCAGGCCCGCACAGGGAAGGCCGTCCGCACAGCCCAGCGCTGCTGAGAGCCCAGCTCACTGGCCTTTCCCAAAGGCTGCTTGCCAAAAACCAAGGCAAGTTACAAACTTGTAGGGTTAAGAGGCCTTTCAGCAGAATGCTGTCCACAGGTGCTGAGATGGCGTGTACATAATAAACCCTAGAACTCTGCCGAGACGATCCCATGCGACCCCTACAGAGTTCACAGATACCGTACAAGCCACTTTGTATTTCACGAATTTTTATTGTTGTATATGAAAGGCCCAGAAGCTTGATACTTTTTCTTTAAAATATGTTTGTTTTCCTAAGAGTTCAGCAGTGGAACTGGGGTATCTTCAGATCTGTTCGTTTTTCACCTAGTAATCTCCCTTTCTAAACCCAGGTTTTCTGCATCACGGCAAAACAAGTCTGTTCTTTCTTTCATTTTGCTCTATGTGTCTCTTATTATTTCTGAGGCTCTTGGTTGTGTCCAATACAGTTGTTATAGTTTCCTACATTTTTATCTATCATCTTTAATACTGGAAGGTAACACCATTTGATCCCCTCTAAGAATTTGGACTTGCAGACCAATACAATCTCCATCGTAAGCCTGGCTCGGCTCTGCTGCTGCAAGAGAAAAGCAGCCAAGTCCACACACAAACAGTTGTGTAGCTGTGCACCTAGACAATTTCCTTACAGGGTAGATTTGGCCCACAAATCCTAGTCTGCTGATCTCACCTTCTGATCAGTTTGATCAGTGGTTTTTCAGTAGCAGCAAAATAATTGTATTTTTCAGGAGCTTTCTTTGGGTTATGACACTTCACTGTATTTTTTAACTTTTAAGGGCTGTATTTAACCTTAACTACGTACTAGTCCAATTATGTAAGGGATGGCCAAAAATTGCCTATTGTTTAATTAATTTCATAAAATAGGAAATATAAAAATGACAATTTTATCAAATTCAGTAATTTTTCTGTGTATGGTACAATCTTAAAACATTCAATACATAACACAACATTACAACCTGGACAGTATCTACTCTCCAAATTTTTACTGGATTATTGTCTGTCTGCAAACATCACATGGACTGTCATGCTGACCTTTTTTCTGTGAGTGGTATAATTTCAAGAAAATGTCTGCCCACTAAATGGACATCTTGGTTGAAGTTTTGCTGTCCGGTATCTCTCAACTGTTTGGTCTATTAGACCTAATGTGAATTGTAAATGACTTTTGGAACCCCCTTGTTTTGAATAAATAACAAACGAGTTCCATGTTTGGTCCAGAAGGTGCATAATTATTTTACATTCTTCCTCACCTTCTGACTACCCAGGACAGCTCGTCAGAAGTGGGTCAACTCTGTCAACACCACCTGTAGCATTGTAATCACCGACCTCTGTGGGAATTTTTTCTTTCGAGTTCTATCATTTCTGTATTATTAATACCTGACAATACAAAAATGTCTCTTTTGTCTTTCCATTTCATAACAGACTTTTCCTCTCTGATAAGGTAACATTTCTCCCTTTTTTCAGACTTTTCAGTACTTCCTATTCAGTGTCTCAAATGTGTATGTTGTGCACTGCAGAGTAACACTGAGTTCTGGAGAGGTATAAAACGTACACCACTGTATTTACGATCAGTTTCTATAGACTGCAGTGCAAAATTACAGGTTATTTTTCACAAATCAAATAAACATGAACTAGTAAAAGAAAATAACCACAACTTACTAGATTTCACTAGAAACAAACATCAAAGGCAAAAACAACATTCTAAATGTAAAAGTATGTGAAAAACAGTTGATGTAAAACATTCAATCCCGGGGACCCCCCCAAAAAAAAATCAACACATTAATCCTTATCTTTGGGCCAGGGATTTAGCTCAGCAGTTCAGTGGCCTGCCTCGCAAGCGCAGGGACCCGAGTTCAATCCCTGGTACCAAAAAAAAAAAAAAAAAAAAAAAAACACATATAAGTGCATCTCATGCAAACAAAAATCCACCCAAGCAAAGCTCAGGTAGTGATGCTCAGGGAAACTGTTAAGTGGTTAAAATGCTTGACTAGGTTTCCCCTTGACACAGGGCAACGGAGGAGCCCCAGTGGACCAGACTATGAACAGGGACAATGCTCAGGGACAGAAATTAAGGAAGGAGGGTCAGCTGCTCTAGGGAGAAAAACCACCAGCGCAGTGCTACCCCAAGAAAAGCCCATGGCTACTGTAACCCACAGAAACAGGGAGGGGTTTTATTCCAAAAGTGATTCCTACCAAAGCGCAGGCTAGAGCTGGGGGAAGAAAAACAGTGTAGCACCCACCATATTTGAAAAGAGTTAATCAAGAACCCTATCGGTTAGGGGGTTAGTGAAACTGATCCACAGATCAATTATAGAGTAACTTCACTTCAGGAATTTGTGCAACCCCACCACAGTGACGGTGGAAGACAGCCCCAAAAGACAGTCATAGAGAGGGTGAGGCTAAACACAGAGCCCTGAGAATCTAACCCCAGGCCACGAACGATGGTGAGAAGCTATGTCCAGTGTGCTTACGGAGGTGGCTGGGCCTAAAAGTGCTGGCGTGAAGTCCAGCTGCACATACCCAGCAGAGACCAGCGGTCTGACTGCTTTCTGTGTGTACCACCAAGTGCAAGAAGTGTCAGCGTACACAATCGCCAGATTATGTGCTACAAGGACAGAGGCCTCTGGAACAGGGCAAGCAACTCACAACCCCCAGGTTTTTATAAAGCAAGCAGAAAACTGACTTGCTAGAGGCCAAGACCACAATCTAGAAAGAAGGAGAATTTTTTTTGTCTGGATTCACTTTTTCCCTTCATTGGGCTTTGGGGGGGGGGGGGC